TCAATCATGTATGAATATAAATGAAACTGAACAATTAAAAATAGAACCATTAGAAAAATTTTTTCAAATTAATTTAAATTTTACATTAAACCAATGGATTAATTTAGATAAAAACCAAACATGGCAACAATTATTTATTTATTTAATTAAAATATTTTCAAATCAATATGAATATACAAATATATTTCCAATTAAAATTGATTCTGATGAAAAAAATTCAACATGGAATAATATTTATGTAAATTTTATTTTTTGATAAATAAAATTTGCTTTTTTTTTTTTTCTTAAAGATTGATCAACCTGAACTTATGCTTATGACTCGAGATTATTATATTAATTCAACAAAAGATAATGAAAAAAATCAAAATGTAAAATTTTCTGTTTTTTCGATTTTTTCTTCTTTTAATTAATATTTAGATTCGAGAAAAATTTAGTGAAGTTGGTTCAGATATATTACAATTACTTGGTTTTGAAAAAAATGATTCAAGGCAACGTATGAATGATATTATTCAATTTGAAACTGAACTTGCAATAGTTAATTGTAAGTTATTTATATTTACTTAATAGAAAAACAAAAAAAAGAAATCATAGGATTTAAACTGCTCATTCGGAGTAGCTCTTTGACTGGAAATCATCAAGTAACTAAGAAAAATAAACACATCACATATGTCAATATTTAAATAAAATAATATTATATATAAAGAATGGTTAAGAAGTTTTAACTCGATTTAATTAATAAATTTTTCTACAATGAAAGTCATTTGTTTGATTTCGCTAGCTCATATAATAAGAAAGTTATAGATTTAGAAATATACTTCACAAACGTGAACCTTCGGAAACAAATTTTTCATATTAATCTTTCCGCACATGAAACACATTGTTGTTTGTTAGGTACTATTAATTTTTTTTTAAGATATATTATAATCTATGTTTTACTATCCTTTATCAGTAATGTTACCTGTCATTCATATTGGATTCATTTAGAGACCGACTTCATGAAACTGTTTCTTTAAAGTAGATTTGAAAATGAGTCAAATGCTCAAGCTTTATTTAGTCCCATGGTTTTCTTTTTTGTCTTCTGATTCCTTATTATGTGAGCTAGTGAGGTCCAACAAAAGTCATTTTGTAGAGCGTGTTTTACTCCCTAGAAACACGAATTTCACTATAGAAAATTTTATTATTCAAATCGAATCACAACTCTTTGGCCAACCTTTATATACTGAGCTATGTGATGTCAAGAATGAAAAGCTGAAAGTTTCTCAACAGATATGCAAAAATTGTTTTATGTAATGGGATACGTGTGAGGATTGAAACTAATATTGTTAGATGATATACTAAATCATAGCTTACACTTATCAATGTAGTCGATAGGAATTTTTTAAAATCCATATCTCATTCACAGCCTTATTAGGAAAATTCCAGTAGTTCATTATCATCAAATCTGAAAGTTTTAATTTTGTAACACATGATCTAAAAGTAGAGTACAATTTTTCATTTCTTCCCTCCCCTTCTTTAATAATGCCTCGTTTTAAGTCCATAGGTATTGTGCCAACAACGTTTATTTTGTAAAAGAACAAAAAAATTGAAATGATTAAAATATTATATTATATTTTCTATATTTTAGTCAAATATCAATAAAAAAAAGGAACATTTTAAAAGTATTTATTTATTTTATATGAAATTACACAATAAAAGATAAGGTTAGCGAAAAAACGAAAATGAATGGTAAGCATGCTAACCTTAGTCTGCAATTTGGTTTTTTTGCACACCCTGCACATATCTAGTTTAGATAAACATATCCATTATTTTTTTTTTATTGTTTGTAAATTTATTTTATTAGAATTGATTAATAGAAAACAAAAAAGTTTATTTTCTTTTTGTTTTAAGTACCTATGGAAATATTACAAAAACCAAAAGAAACATATTATTTAATGAGTTTAAAACAATTTCAAGAACAATATACATCTATAGAATTTAATATATATTCATTTTTAAATGATATATTTAATAAAAATACATCAAATTCAATAATATTCAATGAAAATGATAAAATAATTGTTCTTTCATATGATCTTATGTTGAAAATATCAAAAATTTTAACAAATTATTTATTAACACCAAATAAAAGTCATATTATTATTGATTATTTATTATTTTCATTTGTATTTGATAAAATTTCATATTTATCATCTATATTTGAAAAAATTCAATTACCATTAAAAAAAGAACTTTTTGGAATAGATACAATTGTTGAACGATGGGAATATTGTGTTAAACAAACAGATTATGCATTTGGATATAGTCTTGGTAAAATAATAAAAACAAAAGAATCTTTTAAATTAAGAAGAAAAAAAATTAATTTTAGGTTCTTTATATACTCGAGCTGTATTCGAAGAAACCGATCGATTAAAAGCTAATGAATTAGTAAAAAATATTCGTATAAGTTTTGAAGAAAATCTTAATAATCTTCAATGGATTGATCAACAATCAAAAAATGATGCAAAAAAAAAATTAGAAAAAATTAATCAAAAAATTGGTTATCCTGATTTTATAAAAGATCAAACAAAATTAAACGAACAGTTAGTTAAATTTATTAAAAAAATTATACTAACAAGAAAATTTTCTTCAATCGAAATTCGATAATTTAGACAATTTTCAATGCAACATGAAATCCTTTTAAGATTTTCTATGAGATTAGAAGAGATTTTCTTGTTAATTACTTTCAATGACAATATTGCTTTCATTTTGAGATTGATCGTATCAAATGTGTTATCAATATCTTTTTTGGTCACTTTATTCGTAGTAGTAAATCTTGATTTACCCATTGATACAATTATGTGACTTCGAAACTCAAAACCTGGAGTCGGATTCGTCCTATAATATCTATATTGTATCAAAAACACTGAAAAAATTTCAAAAAATTTGACGGTGCCCTGAGCGGGAGAACGGGAGTCTTCGCGGCGCTACCCGTCCCTGGCCATCACTTTTTATGAAAAACTTAGAAGATGAGAATAGGTGTTTCTTAGAGGTAAAGCATATATATTTGAGGTACCGCTCGACGTCCAATACCAAAATTTCGGTTAGAGTATTTTTAGTGAAAATAATCGTAAAATTCAGAAAACGAAAACCTATATAGGAATTTCGAAAATTTGTAATCCGAAGTCAGCTCAAAACTCTTGGTCTTCAACTGATAAATTACTTTTGAGTCAAGACTATGTGGTTTTGTATAGCCAAAATCAGCTCTGGGCACTTACCATTGAGCAGATCTTGTTACTATTAAAAACAAATTCAAAGATTTAAAATTTTCACAATAAACTATTCGCTTTAAAACTTCTCTCTATGGAAAGTGTCCAAGACAAAAAACCATCTTTTGTGTTACCACAGTAATATCGTAAAAGTGCAGTTTTTTTTTATAGAAAGGTATAAACTCTTTTCAAAGTACATTAGTGTTTAAAATGTGTACATAATTTCGATTTAAAAAGTGATGATTAATCACTTGAAAGATTTAGTTTGTCAGCATAATATTTTATTTCAAAAATTACATGAAATTTTAACTGTTCTAAAGTGGAAAGATTTCTAATCTTATACAGCTATGTAATTACAAAAAAAAACCAATTATAATTTTAGTTATGCTGGTTATTCAATGATTAAAAATGAATATTTTAATAATCAAATTAAAGTAGAATGTCGAGAACATCGACGTAGAATTTTAAAATATCAACAAAAAGTTGATCATACTGAGTAAGACAAAAAATAGAAAAATACAATAGTTAAAAATTATTTATTTATTTCTTTTTTTAAATTAAGATGGCGTATGACAGTACGAACAGTTAATGCTTATTATTCTCCACCATCAAATGAAATTGTTTTTCCAGCTGGTATTCTTCAACCACCATTTTTTCATAAAGATTTACCATTATCTATTAATTATGGTGCTATTGGAACAATAATTGGTCATGAAATTACACATGGTTTTGATAATCAAGGTCGAGAATATGATGGTGATGGAAATATGCGTTCATGGTGGACAAATATATCTTTAGATAATTTTCAAGAAAAAACAAAATGTTTTATTCAACAATATTCAAATTTTTCAATTGATGGACAATAGGAAAGTGGACAACGAACATTAAGTTAGTTTAATAGATAAAAATTAAAAAAAAAAAAGAGTTAATTCTAATCCTATACTAATTTATTTAACTAATGAAGAATAGTAATTATCGAGTTATAGAAATCTACAAAAGAGAATTTTTGAATGGGTTTTAATTTTGATTATATAATTATTTAAAAAAAGATTAATATTTATTTTAGACCAAAAGAAAAAAAATATGATTGAATATTTGTAAGAATTTTTCTATTGCTAATAAATAAATTGCTCGAGTTTGATTTAGTTTTATTTTTATTTAATTTTTATATTTTTTGTAGGTGAAAATATTGCGGATAATGGTGGTATTAAAATATCTTATTTAGCATATCAAAAACATAAACAATTTACATTAAATTCTAATAATGATCTACGTCTTCCAGGTTTAAATTATAATAATAATCAATTATTTTTTATTGCATTTGCTCATGTATGAAAACTTTGTTTTTGCTTATAAATTTTTTAATGATGAAAAAAAAAAAAAAAAACTTTTCTATAGACTTGGTGTGATATTCAAACTTCAAATTCTTTACATCATGATTTAATAGATGATCCACATTCACCTGCACGTTTTCGTATAATTGGAACAGTACAAAATAGTGATGAATTTACCAAAGCATTTTCATGTCGATCAAAGACAATGATGAATCCAAGTAATAAGTGTCAATTATGGTAGTCTTTCAAATTCTTTTTGTTTTTAAATCGACCAAAAAAAAAAAAACAATTTTTTTTTTGTTTTCTTACATCTACGAGCCGTTATTTTAACAATTATGACATATCTTTTTTTCTTTTTTTACTTATTTAAATAATAATAAAATTAACAGTTTTGTTTGTTAGATTTTGTTTTGTCTTTTAGATGGTAACAGATGTAAAAAATTCCAATGTTAGTCGACAAGAATTTATTGATTTACTTTGTCGAATAACTAAGACAGACGACGAAGATATGACAACGAATACTGATAATAATAATAATAATCAAAATGAACCAGACGTAACAATTATTGATGATAAATCAACAATTGAAGAAGGTGAAATAATTACACTGGATGATGATGATGATATTATTGTTGTTAATAATAAAAAAGAAATTGAAGATGGTGAACTAACAGAATCACCAGAATCAGATGTATGTATGATATATCCAAATTCGAAAAACTAATTTTACTGAGGCCATAGATAAAACTTACTAGGGAACATTCCCAAGTGAAGGAGCGCTTTTCAGCCGGGGTTTTGCGCATCTTATAGCCCATAGTGAGCTATGCCTATGGTAAAAAAAATTCGGGTTTCTGGCTTGATTCCGAGCTCCTACTGAATTTTCTCTATAGTATGCCTACATTGTTAGCAAAGCTATACTTCCGAATTTTGACCTGAAACTTTGCTTGCATAACAAATTTCAGAAGTTTTGAACAAAGTCTCTTTAAGATATGAAACTATCAAGGTATAGTCCCTTTTTCATAATAATATATATACTATGCATTTTTTTCAAAGCTGCGTATCTTAGAGAGACTTTGTTCAAAGCTTCTGAAATTTGTTATGCAAGCAAAGTTTCAGGTCAAAATTCGGAAGTATAGCTTTGCTAACAATATAGGCATACTATAGAGAAAATTCACTAGGAGCTCGGAATCAAGCCAGAAACCCGAATTTTTTTTACCATATGCATAGATCACTATGGGCTACAAGATGCGCAAAACCCCGGCTGAAAAGCGCTCCTTCACCTGGGAATCTTCCCTAGTAAGTTTTACATATCTCTACTTCAATGAGTTAATGAATATACAATAAAACTAATTCTTAACCAGTAATTACAAATTCTTGTACGAAATAGTAGATTAAAGCAAAAAAAAGAAATTTTCTCGTATCTAATCCTTACACATTCTAAAAACAAAACCTTCTATTATTAAACATTAAAATGTTCTTCATTCATGACTTGTAAACAAGAACAAAAAAAAAGCCTTGGTCATACCAAACACTACTGTGATTAACTTCTTTTTGTTTAATAGAATGATGATGTTGAAGAACTTAATTTACGTCTAAATGCTTTACGATCATTAGCTGGAGCAAAAAAACAAAAAACAAAAAGTAAATTTATTCTAAATTTTCTTTTAATAATTTTCATATTTATTTTTTTTGTTGTATTTAGAATTTAAACCAAAACGTAAACGTTTAAATGATTCTAATCGTTATATAAAAGATGATATTGATCTTCGTTCACCGAATAAAAATCGTTTATCATCACGATATACAAATCAAACATCAAATAATAATGATGATCGAGAATATTTACTCGATAAAGATTATCGACATCCAAGTGTTTTTGATATGCTTCTTTCTCTTATTACACCTGATAATAATAATAATAATAATAATAATTCTTCTACTACAACAAATATTAATAATAAAAAACTTGTTGATAATTATGATATTCAACAAATGGATATTGTTGATGATCATCCTATATCAATATCACAACCACCATTACCTCCATTTCCACCACCACCTCCACCATTACCACCAAATCATTTACCATTTTTTGATCCATTACCACCACTTCCACCTCCACCACCATCTTTATTTGATATGTTTCCTGCTAATCAAACATTTTCATCAACAAATTGGCCACGACCAAATTTCGTTCAACAAACACCAATAACAACAATTCAAAATGATTTATGGCAAACATCATTTAATCATACAACAGATACTGATCTTCGTGTTCAACCAATAAATAATAATCATCAGCATCATCATCATCAACATCATTCAATAAATCAAATTAATGAACAATTATTACATAAAAAATCACAACAAGAAAGACGAAAACGTTCAAAAAAATCTTCTAAAAAACATCATCGTGAATATGAATTATCATCACCTATTGTTATGATAAATACAACAAATCAATATAAAAAAATACAAGAAAAATCACCACCATTAACTACTGAACATACTCCTACTACTACTAATAATAATAATAAGGATGCTGATGATGATGAAGAAGAACGTTTATTACGTGAAGAACTTTTACGTACATTAACAAATAAACGTAAAGTTAAAATAATTGAAAAAACAAATCTAGAACCAGAACGTATTGTTACAATAGTACCATCAGATTCTCTATCAACAATTACGCAAACTAATTTAAGTTCAACACCGATTGTTATTAATAAACCAATTGAAAAATCACAATATAGTATTAATCAACGATATAAACGTGTTAAAGCTAATGTATCATCAACTAATTTAACAAATAAAATTGAAACAACAACAACAACTGTTGTTCGAACTACACAACCAATTATTCAAACACGTAATAAAATTGTTCGTGTAGTATGTATTTTTTACTTTTTACTTTTTCAATTGAATTAACGAATATTTTTCTTTTTTTTTTTTCGAAAGCCTGAAACGGATATTGAAATTCCACAATCAAATCCTATTATAATTACATTTGATGATCAAACAACAGATGATGATGAACAACAACAACAAGAAACAGTTAAAAAATCAAGTGAATCAACATATGTTATATCTGATGAAGAACGTTTAGCTATTAAACGTTTACAACAACTTCAAGAAGAAGTTATGCGACGAACTAATACTTTGGAATCAACAACTAAAACAATAGTACAAAAAACTCAAACACCACCACCACCACCACTTCCACCAAATGATATTATTCAAGAAACAATACCATCAACTGATGAATTAAGTGCCTTATTCGAAAAACGGTATAAAATTCCTCTTTTTTTTTTTTTTACTATATTTTTTTGTCTATTAAAAAAAAAGATATTTCATAAATTTTAAGCCTTGTTTTCCATTAGAAGAAGGGAAGTTACCATTACCAAGTAACGAAAAATTCATGAATTGGATTCTTTCGTTAGAGAATAACTATCGAAGGAAACATGCACAAAAAAAAGTCAATATTTTCCTGAAACGTTCGTCGATGCTAGGACAGATCGTCGCGTACGAATTGATAATTACTATAGCTATTAGGACTACAGACCTTTTGATGCTCTATTGAAAAAACTAAAGTATCCATATAGAACAGTTCAATCTGTATTTTTGTCCTGCTATGAATGATTTTTAACTTTTGATATAGTTTTTTTATAATATACTTCGAAAATAAAAAACATATTTTTTTCATTTTCTAGTCGAATGTTACTTAGTGAACGAGCTAAATATGGAGAAATTCAAGAAAAAATGAAAAAGAAAAAATTAGAAAATGGATTATTAGCACGTGATATTGAAAGACTTGAAGAACAATTATTAACAAAAAAAACTCAAATTACAAATAATAATGCACTTTTACAATATTGGCAAAAAGAAGTGAGAAAAATTTCATTTTTTTTTCTGTGAAATAGATTAACAAAAATATATATATATATATAATTATGTTTGATTTATTTAGGCAATGTCGATTGCACAAAATATTAAACAACAAGAAGATTTTATTCTTCAATCAGCTGTTTTTAAATCTGTTAAACCAGTAAATATTATTATTAAAAATTTTCTTTTTTTCTTATTCAAATATTTTTACTTTAGATTGCATCATCTGTTCCTAAACCACGTGCAACAATTGAATTTGATTATGCTAATATTTCAAAAGTATTCGAAGAAAACAGTGTATGTGTATACATTGATAATAAATAATGAATTTTATTTCTTCTTATGATTGTTTTCTATGATATTATAGACACAAATACTTTTATCAATACTCATTTGTCCATTAAATTTTTATCGAAAATTACGTCCTTATCATAGTTGGTTAAATGCCATATCGAAAAAACTTCCACAGGTTAATTACATTCTTATTATTATTTGATTATGTATAAAAAGAAAATCTTTTGTTTTTATTTAGTTATCAACTGAAGATAATTCATCTTTATTATTTCGAACACGTTCGTAAGTATAAAAGTTTTTTTTAAACAAATTTGATTACAAGCTGAGTTTTTTGTTATTGATTAGATTTTCTACTCAAAATAGTGAACAGTATTGGAAGTCATGTTTACAATCTTATTTTATTGATATAAATCATATTCTTTGTCCATATGAACTTCAAGGTTCATGTAAAGCTCAAAACTGTATTTAGTAAGTAATATAATTAGGGCATACTAAAAATTAGTAGCAGTAGCTTCTATCAAATCTTATAGAAGGCTCGAAAAAATTTTCTTTATACATACAAGAGCTGTTAGTAGACTCTATCAGGTTGGATGAAGTCTACTAACATCGATTGGGTCCGAAATAGTTAATTGAGCACAGTGACGGAAGTGGTTTTTAAAGAACTTTTCATAAACCATCGTAGCACCGAAACATTTTATATATTTCACCATATCGCGATAGCCTTATCTCAATTAGGATCACGTTATGGTACCCTTGTTTCTTGTAGGATCGTGTCGCGTTATCCTTGTCTCTTCTAGGATCATGTCGCAGGATCCTTGCCTCTTCTAGGACCGCGTCGCGGGATCCTTGTCTCTTCTAGGACCCCGTCGCCGCAGCGGTAGGTTTCTAGTCGTGATGGATGTCTTTGGTCAGACTTAAATCTAAAAGCTCAATTTTTCCTTATCTATTTACATTAGTGGCAAACAGCATTGATTGAAATACTAATATTATCATACTGATGTAAAAATTGTGAAATATTATTGTTTGAACTATCGGTATATATATAGAAAAAGACTTCTTTGAGCTTTATAAAAGTTACTGCTATTATATTTTAGTATTTTGTGAATATTAAGTAAATGAATTATATTTTTATTTCTAATAGTCAACATCAACATCAAATTTCTAATCGTATTGAACAATTTCTTTCATCAAAAAAATTGAATGAAAATAATAAACAAAGTTTGTTGATAAACTAGTTATTTATAATAAATAAAATATATTGTTTATTAGAAATTTTAAATAAAATTGATAGTATTTGTTCATTACGATCATTTGATATCGATTTATCTATATTTGAAAAAAGAATTAGTGAGAAACAATATCAACGATGTAAGTTTATTTTTTCAAATATTTTTTTAATATTTTGTTTCTGTTTTTTTCTTTCTTGTAAATAAGGTCGAATGAAACTTGATCGTTATCTTTCAATTTATCATGAAGATTTTCGATATTTTCGAGATCAATCAACTAATGATAGCCTTTCTATTATTCATCCAATACTCGTTAGTGTATCAAATCAACTTGATTCGTATGTTAAAATTTTAAATATGATATGTTCTTGAGTATTTCTTAGATTTGTCTAATTATAATCACTATGGTGTCACTTGCATCAGGTTTTTGTTAAGTTTACGAGTTTGAAAATGTACTAAAGATATCGCAACCAAACTAATCATTAATTATAAAAGTTAATTAGTAGGAAAAAATCTAGGACCATCTAGTATAATGTAATCCTGCATGGATTGTTCTCACAGCTTTTTTTGTTTGTGTATTTAGAGATGATTTTTCACCTGAACAAGCTGTTGCTGATTTAGTCGAGGGTCTTGAATCACAACGAACTAATGCACAATTATGGTGTCTTTATCTTGAATTGTCGAGTTGGCAAATGTCACAAGATGAATTACATCATTTATGTTTTGCTGCACTTAAAAATGCACAAAGTTATGATTTATTTTGGACTGTAAGAAAGAAAACAAAAAAAAGAATTAAAATAAAATTCTATTTTATTTTATTTTATTGATTATTAGATTTTTTATTTATGTACAAATAATATAGAAGAATTAATATCAATTTATTTAACATATATACAATCCGATGAATTTGATTTTCATAGTCGTTCTTATGCAATATGTGAATTAGCTATGTTTCATGCTAATCTAACAATAAATTGTGATCAAGCATATGAAAAAATTAAAGTAAAAAAAAAGAAAATCAATAATTTTAATTATTTTTTTGTTTTCAAATCATATTTAGAATTATTTATCAAATTCTTTTCTTGAAAATGAACATCGAATATATCTTATCTTAGTTTTATTATATACATTTGTATTCGGTTCATTTCCTCGAATTCTCTATCAACAAATGGATGAAAATCGATTTGATAAACAAATATATGTTCGTTGAAAATGAAAAATTATTTTTATATGTATTTTTTTTTTGTTTTTGTTTAGCTTGAACCATTTATTTGTCCTTGGTATGCACTATCGAATTATTCACATTCACAAGATCAAATAGATAAATTTTTTGATGATTTTATGAATTCGATGGAATTATCAGAAACGAATTTTGCTTTGTATATTAATAAAATTCATTATTTAAATGCAACTAAGAGGTTTGAATAATTCCAAATATGTTTACTCTTATCTAATTGAATCATAAATAGATTTGATCAATCAAAACTGTATATTGAAACATTAATTGAAGAATTTCCTTGTTCCATTGAACTTTGGATTGAACTTTTATTAAATCCAGAAATATCAAATAATCTTACAGAAGTAAATTTTCAAAAATAAAAAAAGACTTTATTTTCATAAAATTATTCATTTTATTTTCTAGATTCTTGAACGTGCCAGAAAAATAACTGGAATTTATTTTGAATTTATTTATTGTTTGGTAGAATTTTATATTGATAAAAAAAAATATGAATAATCATTTGTTTTATTTAGTCTTCATCTATAAATATTCAATCAATGTTAAATAATGAATCGATTCAAACGAAAACATATCGTGAAAAATTCTTTTCGGATCTTTGTCATTTATCGTGGGAAATTTTTGTTTTTTTTTATTTTTCCTTTTTTTTTAAATCATTTCACAAAAAAAAAAACAAACAAAATTCTTTTATTTTATTCTATAGGTTGGATTCAAATAATGAATTAAAACAAAAGAAAATTGAACAAAATCTTATACGATATAATGGAGAACTACGTGATATAACAATTCTTGAGTAATACATGTCTTTTTTTTTGTTTTTCTTTGATTATTAAATTTCATATTTTTCAATTTCATTAGTATATTTAAACATTTTTCGAATTTTTCAATTAATATACAACGACAAATGATGTTAAAAATTTTAAATTATCTAATAATAAATAATGATGATCAACAAAGAATATTAATACTCTATTCATTTTTTCGAATGAGTCAAATTAGTCATGTTTTTGATATTATTATTGATTGTTTACTTTCAATACATAATGATCAATATGAATGGATTATTAAACCGTAAGATTTTTTTTTTTTTTATTTCAAAAGCAAAAATAATTCCACAAGATTCTTGTTATAATTAATTTTAGATTTACATATCGTTTATTAGATATTTCAATAAAAAAAGATCAAAATACGTTAATATGGATTCGTTTTGATGCATTTGCTAAACAATTGATACATAATACTCATTGTCAAGAGATCTATGTCACGTATGTCAAATTTATTCCAACAGGTAAGCGATGTTTTTTCTTTATTTTATTTATTAGCATTCTACAACGACTAATTACATCGATGGAAGATAAAAATAAAGTAAGTTAATTAAATTTTTCTCTCGTAGATTCTTCTTTTTTTTTTTTGCTTCGATTTGATTTTAATTTATAATCAATTTTAATGAAGAATAACAGGAAACTTTAGAAATTGAGTAGGAAATTATTATTGAATAGAAAAATATAAAAAGTTTTTATTTTATTTTTTTTTCAATACAAAAGAAAATAATTTTAGAAACTTATATTAATGATGAATTGTTTATAGAAATATATTTTTTCAATAGTAGACATCATACTACATAAAAAATCATTATATATCAAGTTTTTACCGGAATTATTATTTCTTATAGAATTTTTTTCATCATATAAACTTTATTAATTTATATCTGTAATGAACTTTATTTTCTTATTATATGTCTTATTCGAAAAATAATTTTATAGTTTTTCTATAAATTAATCAAATCGAAGAAAAAAAAAAAAACATAGATATAACTTGATTAAAAAACAAAATAAATCTATTGTCTCTTTCAAATGATATATTTTATATATCTTCCTGCTCTACTCTATTATTCATTCAAGATTGCTCGTTTATGTCGTCTATTCGAAAAACAATTTTCCAATTGTGGTATTATATCTCAACAACTTCGACAAATCATCTTCAATTCGACAATTAATGATACGGGCACTACGGCTACTTCATAATGCATAGGGAGAAAAAGAAAAAAAGAAATTGAGTTATTTTAAAGGACATTCAAAAAAAACAAATAAGTAACATTGGTATTTATTGAGGGAGAAATATACATAAAAAAAAAAAGAATTTCTTATCATCGGATCTTGAATATATAAGGCTAAGTTCTTTCATTCTTATTTTGGTTTCTTTATACAGATTTGTTTTTCTATTGCATGTCTTTCAAAATGGATCTTGCTACCAATGGTCTATATATTTTTTGTTTTGTTATCGTCGATATGCATATACGTATATTATATATGTGCGTCATTTTTGTTTTATATTTTGAATAAGAAAATGAAGAAGAAAAACCAAATCAACTATGGATGATGTTCACTCAATTATAGATGTATAATGTGTGCGTCTGATTTTGTTGTTTTTTTGCTGTCATGTATTCGTATATGTTTTTGCTCTATGACATTGTGAAAGCAACTGTGAAATAGATTTGAATAAAATAGAACCAAAAAACAAAAAAAAAGAACTGAATACATTTGATCAATTCAATTAGTTCAAGTAAATAACAATGATATATCTATTTCATTTTGTGTCATATCTTTTTTTTCTTCTTTCTTTCAGCTTTCGTGTTATTTAATTGATTAATATCTATTTTTCACAGACAATACAAAGAAATAATAGCCAGATAGACATTAGTAAAATCTCTATGTGTTGATCACCATGCAATATGATGAATTATTTGCTTCGTTTGTGTTGCTATTTTTCTAATGCATTGAGTGAATAGTAGACTTAATATGTCTGTGAATTCGAACGGAAAATTATATCGACATTATATCCGTAAAGACGACAAGAAAGAAATAATACTTGCACGTTTCAATTATTGTTTTGTTGTTTCTTTTTTTTTTTTTTTTTCTTTGATAAATCTTTATGATTATTATAAAAGAAGCAAAAAGAAAATCAACAAGACATATATATTATGTCAATCTTTTTTTCGTACGAATGTTGTTATATATATCTATGTAGATTTTGTTTGCATTATATAAACTTAAGAATAAATTTTATCTTTGATAAAATCTCGATAAAATAAATCTTGTATATAAAGAAGAATAGCAATTGGTTGTATAAGAATAAGTGATATCCATACAGCTAAATTTCCATATGTTTTATTTGAAATACTTATTCGTTTAACAGCTAAACCCATTGGTAATTGTATGATCATAGCAAGAAAACTCCATGGACGTATCATACGTAATGGTACACTAATTAAATACTAAAAAACAAAAACCAAAAGAATCAAAATAAATATTTTATAATAAAATTAAAAACAAAACAAACTATTCATTACTTCATGAAAAAATGCACTTATTAAAAATACAACTAATGAACCAATAAATTTATTAAAACCATATTGAGTAACTAATGGTTTATATATATGTCGTTTACAAAAATCATGTACAATTATATTCCATCGATTCCAAAATTCATATAAATTAATTGCATTCCACCAATCACGATAAAAATATCGATCACCAAAACATAATAATTCAGCAATTAAATTTAATATTGAATGAAAATAAACATAAAAGAATATTAACCATAAAAGATGATTAGGTAATGCAAGACGTAATAAACGTTCAATATTTTCTAATGTTGAATATTGATTTAATGGTCGATCAAGTGTACGTAAAATAGGTAATATCCATTGTTGTCCAAGACAAAATTGTAATGATGCAAGTACAAGAATTTCACCACAACGTCGTATTATAAATCCTTTACGTATACGTGATGAACGTGGAAAATTTAATTCATAACAGAGTGTTGGTGCAAACATAAAATAATAAAGATTTTTACAGGTCAAATTATTTGGATAAATTATTTGACTTTTTGATATAGTTGAATTTCTACGTGAATCTAAGAAAAGTCAAAATTTATTGATTCAGATTAATAAAAAAAAAAATTTAACCATGTTTTTTCTCAAGTAAAGTTTGTCGACATTGATAATTAATATGTAAATAAGAAAAAATTTTTAAAAATACTATTGTATAAAGACAAATAGCAATAAATGCACCAACTGGATTTGGTTCACGATAATAAATATATGCAGCTGGAAAAATAAGTATTGTAAATAGATTAATAAATTGAAAAAATATTAATGTAGTTTTAATTTTCGATTTTATTAAATGAATTTTACTAAGTCTTAATTCAAGCCAAAATTCAAATAAAATGAAAATATTAATCAATACAATAAGAAATACCTTAATGAATAAATTTTAAATGAAAGTAAAAAAAAACTTAAAATAACTAACCGATGGCCAATTTGTTGGATCTTTTAAAAATTTTATAGGCCAATTAAAATCAATTAATAATCCATATCGAAGAATATTTTCAATCACAAGACGACAACTTCCGATTCCCAATATAACATAAAGAAGGTTAAGAAATCCTCGATAATTTTCATAACCACTTGAAGCTGATAATAATGATGGTCGTTCTATAATCGATTGTTAAAAAAAAAAGCATACTCAAAAAACTAAAATGCTTTTTTTTTTCAATAATAGAAAAAAAAAAAAATACCTCGATGACACGGCATGTCGTGAGCAGTAGCCATTGTTGTTTGTTAAGAAGCAAAAAACAAATCGTACTATTTATTGTATAGATGTCTGTATATGTGAAAGAGAAGAACAAAACGTAAAATAGGTAACGTGGGTATGTTAAAATAGAAGATATACGTATGACACTCTTATCTGTTATAATATATTCTTGATGACCTATGAGTGTAAAAGAATTAACAGATAGAGTTTAGTATTTTGTTTAAATTCCCATCATTAATTCTTGTTTAAGAGTTTGAAAAGTTGTTCGTCAAACATTATTATATTAAATAAATATTCTTATACGTATTGTTTTAAAATATCGCTTTTAAATAAAGTAAAATTATTCAGCCCTTTAATTTTGTTTCCATTTCATTTGTTATTACATACTATATATCATCCAAATATTTCTTTATCATTTTCTAAAACATATTTTGCATATTTCTCAAAATAAGGTATTTTTTAAGTTGAAAAAAAGAAAAGTTATCCAATACTATTATATTTCATTTAGAAAAGAATCATTTCAAAATATTTATAGAATATTACGTATGAAATTATGAAATAAGATAGAAGTAGCTAAATATACATATATAAATAGATATAGATAGATATATTATTGTTTCTTAATCTTAAACAAAAGAGTAAATCTTATACTTTGATCAACGTATGGAATAATCTGGTCACGATATTTTTATCTATATATAGAGAATAAAAATTACACGATTAAATAACATTAGCCTACAATAGAAAATTTCTATACGCTCGATATATATATATATAAAATTATTTGAATAGAAAATAAAATCTAAGTAATTATCTTTCCACATCAAATCATATAATGTGTATATAAATCTTATTCTATATTAGTTTCCTTTTTCTTTTATATTTTATTATTTAAAATAAAATAATCTTTTAAGTTATTTAAGAAAATAAAATAAAAAAAAATACATTCTTGAGTTAACTTTTTATTTCAATCATCAATCTTATCATTGTTTATCATTAGAAAAAAAAAGAAAAAATCTAAACTCGTCTATCATATAATATTTGCAATTAACAAATATAATGAGACAGATGAACACTCGACAAATATTTGTGTCATTATTTCTATTGTTCCGGAAAGTCAACTTTCATTTTCGTTGAATAATTATCGAAAGAAACAATTCCTTTTTTTTTTCTCTTGTTATTCTCTCCCTCTCTCTCTCTCATTCTTTTATATTATCCATGTCGTTAGAAATTCAAGTTATTATTATCTCACAAAAGAAGAAGAAGACGAAAGATTCATTGAGAATTATTTCTGCTTCGATCAGTCTATTCTTTTCTAGAATGACAAAAAACAAAAAAAAACAGGAATCTCCTTATTCCTTCCGTGAACACATAATATATCATTTGAATTGTAACTATCATCGGTATCATTCTTCTAAGATTGATGTATGTTATTTGTCGATTAAGAATAAGTTAGATATAAAGGTATTTTTTTTTTGTCTTTTTTGAAAATTAATACGAATGTTCTTATAGATACTAGATATTTTGAGAGTATACATTACATTTAGTACACTAGAATGATATTATGATCCTTGAGGCTATTCAAATCTTCATTCGACATCTTATCATATATGAGTATAGAGAAATCAATCAGGCTAGGCTTTGTCAGAAAATTGTTATAAGAATGTGAGTGTATCTAAAATTGGGTTGAATCAATAACCGAGTGTTGTTGAAATCTTATATGGTAAAGAATGAATACTAGAAAAATGATGAAGATAGGACAAAAACACAAAGAGTTTAGATAAGAAAAAAAAGAATAAACTTATTGACTATAATTGAGGAGATAGTAAGATATCATATCCCAGATGCTTTTCTTCCATAAAACAAAATAAATAAATTTAATCAAGTACTTACTAGAAAATAAGTGCATTCATTGCTACTATCAAAGTTTCTTCGTTTTCAAAGACACAAAAAAAAATATAGCTAAAACATAGAAGATTTTCTTGGTGTAGACAATAGTGTGTTTTAGAACCTAAAATGTAAGTATACTAACATGTATAAAATAGTTATGATTCCTTTTTTTTGTGACTGGCGTCAGCTTGATATATATATATATATGCATTTAGAATGATATGAATAGAAATAGTAATCAAAGAAAGATACAATACAAATGAATGAATTTCAATAGTAAAATGAAAACAAAAAAGAAATGCCCCCACGCAGGATTGAACTACGGACCTCCAGTTTACAAGACTGGCGCTCTACCACTGAGCTATAAGGGCTACCAGAAAACGAACATGTATATGAAAATTTGCCATTGAATAAGAATTTATTCATTAAATTGAACTTATTCGATATTTCTATCTTGTTTTTGTTTTTCATTATCTTCATGTATTTCTTGACTTAATCTGACAAATAACTTCATCTTAACTAGTCATATTTTATTGTTT